TTCTGAAGAAGGTCTAAAATGTCACTGTGCGTGCGTGCATGTGTGTGTTTTATTTAGATGGATTTAAAAAAAAATTATTACTCATGATATAACATTGTCCAGACATGCCTGGTAAGGACATGAGGAGGAAACAGTAGGAGCTGTGTGAGGCTACTAAAGGCAGTGCTATAACATTTTTCTGTCATCATTTTAGTCTCCCTCCCCTTTCCACTGGTTGTGTGTGAGATTTAAAAATAATAAAAGTATTTCGTGTTTGTTGGTTTGTTTTTATTTTCTTTCATTTTGCGAGTTGGTTATTTTAAATACGTAACGCAAGTACATTTAATCCGTTAATCAACACTGGAAGTATGTTTTCCTCTGACACACCTGCCGCCAGTTCAGGTATGCAGAGATTTAGCTTCAGGTGTTTTATGTTGAACCATGAAGCAGGAGTGAGAAATGGGATCACCCGGCAGCGACACAGCAAATAAATTAACACAGAGAAAATGACATGAAACTAACTTTTCTTACAGGAAGATTAGAAATCAAAATAAAACTACAGGAAGAACAGTTATCACACCAGCTGCAATCCAAGTGTCAACAATACAAAAGATTAATGAACAACAAGCCGAGCACTGTGAAAGAGTTATCGGTTGTCTCAGTCAGTGGTTCCTATTAACAAACGTCAAGACAAAGTCATATTTGTTATATTGATTTTGCAATCATGAAAATCCGCCCAAGCCTTCAGCCATGAGAGCTGAGCTGAGATCTTTGACCCTCCCCCATTTCCCTCACTGTCTTTTCTTTTCACTGATCGCACACCATCACTTGTTTTTTTCGCTTTGCCTACTTATTTACACTGCTAAATATTGCACCCAGGGTTAACTCCTTTTGTGACACGTCGCTCTCCCAGAAATAAATAAATAAAGACCTTCTTCATTTAACATAATAATCTACAAGTCTTTGATTACGCCTGTAAACAAATAAAATAAACAGTAAGATTCCGTGAAAGTTGACAAGTAGCCAATTATCCCAGACTATTATCCTCGGTGACTACATCTAGCACAAGGAACTAGTAAGATTTTAGTTTCAAACTTTATATAAAGTTTAGAACTAAAATGCAGTTTTTATAGCTTTCCCAAGCCATAAAAAAAATCTATCAATCAATATTAGCCCCTGCCCGTTTTGCGCTATTTTCCACTGCCGTAGTACTCACACACACTGGGTGTGTCTCAGTACGGGACCTTCTTCTAGCTCAGGAAGAGCTGGCAGCTCCCGGAGACGGTACAAAGTTTTACTTTGAGAAAAGGCGGCCTCGGCTAAATTTCTAACGTTTTTTAAGTTTACACTTTAGTTTTAAATTTGGACAAATCTGTCAACACAATCGTTATGATCATGTTTTGAAAACCAAAACGTGTTGAAATTGTGAGATCTATATGCTGTGAGTCAACTGCCTTCAAGTGTTTGTATTTTAAATACAAAGTCTGTAAATCTTACCTTTATTAACAATGTTGAAGATAATGATCATTTTCATATTTCTTCCGTTTCAGCCTTTATAACCGTCACCGACGTTTGTCTCTTAGAAGTGAAGTGTGCCGCTCTTCTACCGCTCGGGCCTCTCAGAGTGCCTCATGCAGCTCGCCGACATTAATCCTAGTCGGCCTTCAAATGCGGCCTATGAATTGGGGCACAGAGCATGGATGTTTCTCTGTAGTCACTCCGCCATCCGTCAGTTTGTGACGGATCATGTAAGAGGGGAGAGAGTGGAGTAGATGTGCGGGTGATGCTGGGAGGGTGCCGACATACAAACGAGCAGAATGAGGGTCTTTCAAAATAAACCAGAAGGTTACAAACATTAAGACCAGGACCACATTTTAAAATAATGTCATAATAAATCATAATCATAAATAATACAAAAAATAAATAAACACCAATCTATGCCAAATGTCTTCTGTAAGGAAAGTAGATCATCTTCATAAATACACGTGTGTCTGAGAACAGGAAAACTGAGTTTCTCAGCTTCTACTTCATGTCATCATCCAGGTACGAGGGGAAAAGGCTTAACAGACCGATAAAGAGGACCAGCTCTGTCCTGGACAGTCCCATACTGCAAAGAGATGGTGGGTGAGAAGAGGATGTTAGACAAGCTGACATCTATTATGGACAACAGCTTGGCTGACAGGTTGTCCATTATGAGCCTGCAGAGGCCCTGAGCAGCTCTGCTGGCAGCACTGTTACAGCCACGGTGTAGGACGGAGGTCTATTCCAGGTCCTTCATCAGCAGCCAGACTGTACAACACGCACACATGTAACAGACACATGCGAAATTATATGTGTGTGTGTGGTTGTAGCTGTTTTATTTGTACACGATTTATTTATTTGTTTCCATTTTTTTCTAATACAGCTGTGTTATAGCGTTTGCAGCTGCGACATGCCAGTTTCCACAGTGGGTGATATTAAGCCTGTGACTGTGACTTAGGAACTTTTCGATTTCTGAATCTCAAACATCAACGTGTCTGAAGTAAGCGGTGCTTTGCAGCTTTTTAGGAGTGTATTCATCTTGGGGCTGAATGAATTGATAATGATAATGATACTTTTCTAATTTGCCTCAGCCGGCGTAAGAAGTGGAGTGGAGTGTGCCGCCGGTGTAGTTATACACCAATTATACAAGGAGGGATGATGAAGGGCGCTGTTTGTGGCGGACACTGCTTCTTCCGCTGCCTTTTTGCACCCTCTTCTGCCCTTCCCTGTTTTGAAGAAGCGGTGTCCGCCACAAACAGCGCCCTTTGTGACGGATCATGTAAGAGACCTGCCCCTTTCGTGATGGGTGTCCAATGTGCCCTTTTCTTGAGGCAATTTATTTATTTATTCATTTTAATGTGTGTGCGTCCTTGGAGTCCTGCCTGTGCCCTCAACAATAATATTTAACAGCAGCAGGAGCAGCAGCAACCCCTCGTCTGTGGTTCTATATTCATCCTTTTTTTTTACATTCTTTAGATTTATAACCGAGACAGTTTCACTGCAGTGGATCCTTGAAATGAAGGATCAGAATATTATCTTATTGGTTAATAAAGGGAAGTGACGTAAGCATGAAAGGTACTGGTTTAACATTGCTCCTAATTTTGGTTGACTGTTGCCCGTTAGCTGCTCCAATCCAGCCCACTGAAGGAACAATGGGCTGGACCTCCCAGCCCATTGTTCCTTCATTGGGCTGGATTCAGTCATTATGCAAATGTACTGTTTATAAGATTGGGGAAACCTGCAGTCAGCTGAGACTGAAGAAGTTACTTGGATTAGTGACGAAACGTTTCTCCCACAAAACGCTACGTCCAGATGAACAGAATCAACTTTTGGAGATCAGCAGCAGATTCTTCTTCTTCTTTCACATTCTGGTGGAGAATTATCCAGAAAAAAATCCAGCCTGTTTCACTGCAGTGTGTCCTTGAGAGAAGGATCAGGATATAATTATCTTCTTCAGTTAACAAATGTAAATAACTTGAGGATGAAATGTACCGGTTCCTAATTTTGTTGACTTTTGCCGTTAGCTGCTCCAAGTTGTCAGTTTTACTCGTTTAAAAATACTACAGTGTTTTCTTGGATGCTTCTTCATTGTTGATACTTCAACATAATGAACTGTGTGAGCATTATTATGATCATATAATGATCATTATTCTATGCACATATAAAAGTCAGTCTGGGATGTTAAGCTTCTTGTCAATTTTCATGGAATCTAACAGTTTCTGAGTGGACTGTTCAGTGGTATAAATAAGTAGGCAATGGAAAAAAACACGTGAGGGTGAGCAATGAGTGAAAAGAAAAGACTTAGAGACAGACAGGGGAAAGGTAAAGAATATGTGGACATAAAGAAGAATAAGAATAGTGTTTTCTTGGATGCGTCTGCAGCTGTCGGTGATTGTGACTTATGATTTGTTCTTCCTTCTGACAGACTTGAAGCTGCAATGGATGGACATGGTGAAGGTGCCATCCGCTGTTTGTCCTGCCTGTGGGTTTGCGGTTTCGTCTCCATCTCATCTACGACCAGGCTGACGGACTGGCTGTGATCCTTTACGGTGACAGACGGAGGCTTGCTGCGATATTCCTCCAGGGAATGGTGATGGAGTTCCTCAAGAACTTGATTCACAGGCCTGAGTGACCAAGTCCCTCAGTGACCCAAGCCTGCGGGGCCTTCAGCATCCAACAGTGCCTTCACAGATTAAACACTGTTTATGTTGTTTACAAACCAAAAATAAATTCATTTTTAAAAAGTTATGTTTCCTTGTTATTATTTCATACATTCGTCAAAGGTCGCCAGTCTGTTTGTGTTGTCTCGGTTAGATTTTCATGCATGTGCTGATGTAAGCTGCATCTATCAGTTTTTAAACACAGTGAGTGGGGGATGGGGAAGCCAGGTGTGAATGACCAAAATAACCAAATTTAATAATACAGTAATCTAAAAAAAGTAATATTGATAATCGATAAAATAATTCTAAATAATTCTCTCCCAATAAATTGGTTTAAGCTTTGAACATCGACGTATAACAACAGTCCCTTATAGAAAACATGGTAAGACATCCATATATGTTATATAATATATGTGTACAAGGAAATATGCACATACATAAACAAAAGTGTACACATTCACACACAAGCACACATACCGTGAACATAAGATGTGTGTCTACGTATACACATGCTTACAGAGTCAATCTCCAAATTGCTCCAAATTGCGTCAGTTTTACTCGTTTTAAAATGTTTCCTTGGACGCTTCTTCATCATTGTTACTTCAACATAAAGAACTGTGTGAGCATTATTGGGATCATATAATGATCTTTATTCTATGTACATATAAAAGTCAGTCTGGGATATTACGCATCAACTTTCATGAAATCTTACAGTTTCTGATTATTTTATTTATTTACAGGCCAAATCTGAATATTTTAGATTATTATATTAAATGAAGGATATCTTTATTTATTTATTTTTGGGAGTGGGCGGGTCGCAAAAAGAGTTCAACTCTGAGTGGACTGTTTAGTCGTATAAATAAGTAGGCGAAAAAACACATGAGGTTGAGAGATCAGTGAAAAGAATAGAGTTAGAGAGGGGAAGGGGGAGAGCAAAGAATATGTGGACATGAAGAAGAATAAGAATCTGCTGCTGATGTACAAACAGGAAAAGCAGAAATGCTACTCTCTCTGACAGAAGAGCATTCCACCCCAAAAGCGGTCTTACAGCACCTGTAACATTGGGACCCGCCTATAGGCGAACTTAGCCTCCTATGAAACTTGGCCTATGATAGGCGAACTTGGCAAAACATGAAAGATAGAAAAAGGAATCACACACAGAGATAAGCGCATTCCTGTTTTGTGTGTCTGTACATCAGTAGCAGATTCTTCTTCGTCTTTCACATCCTGGTGGAGATTTATAATCCAACCTGTTTCACTGCCAAGTGAATCCCTGAAATAGAAGGATCCGGGTATAATTATTTTCTTCAGTTAATACAAGTAAGTAACTTAAGGATGAAATGTACCGGTTTAACATTGTTCCTAATTTTGGTTGACTTTTGCCCGTTACCTGCTTCAGTTGCTTCAGTTTTACTCCTTTAAAAGTACTGCAGTGATTTTCGGACGCGTCTGCAGCTGTCAGTGACATTGACTTATGATTGAAGCTGTAATGGATGGACACGGTGAAGATGTCATTCCGTTGTACGTCCTGCCTGCGTGTTTGCGGTTTCGTCTCCGTCTCATCCACAACCAGGCTGACTGGCTGTGATCCTTTACTGTGAGAGGGAGGCTTGCTGCGACTCACAGGCCTGAGTGACCAAGACCATTGACCAGTGACCTGTGCTTGCACAGCCTCCACGCAGAGAACAGCTCTGCGGGGTCTTCAGCATCCAACAGTGCCTTCACAGATTAAACATTGTTGATGTTGTTGAAAATAAAATAAAAAGTTATCCTTCCTTGTTATTACTTCATACATTCGCCAGAGGTCGCCAGTCTGTTTGTGTTCTCTTCGGTTAGATTTTCACGCATGTGCTGATGTAAGCTGCATCTATCAATTTTTAAACACGAGTGAGGGATGGGGAAGCCAGATGTGAATGACCAAAATAACCAAATGTAATAATAATGATAAAACAATAATATTGACTAAAGATAAAACAATACCAATAATCACTCCCAATCAGTAGCGGTTTTTGATATGGCGACATGGGCGGTTTCACGGCCTGCCCACGATGACCGGGTAGGAAACTAGCAGATTAGATTTCTTTTTCCCCTGTGTTGTAACACATAAAGATATTCTTTATGGCAACTCAAATTTAAGTATCCCTGTTCTTTTTGTTAGACTTGTGTTCTCAGAAGTAAATATTTTAATCTATCTTATTTTGATATGACGTTTTCTGATTGTCATTTTATTTTGAAGATGATTTTATTTTGGAGATGATAGGTGACTATCACTTCCTGTTCCGTTGTGTGTGAAGCGCGAACTGCTAAAAAAATGTTTAGCAGTTCAACATACAAAATTTGTATGTTTTTTGTAGAAACCTACATAAAAGTATGTTTTTCCCGGTGTTTCTGTTAATAAAGAAAAGGGGAAAGGTAAGCCGCAAACCAAGTGTGTGCATTATTGAAAGAACATGGCCGAAGAAGAAGAAAGCCCTTCGAGCTCAACACTTTTATTTTCTCTTTAAGGTTTTTATGTGAATCTCAGTGCCTCAGGGCACCAGCACTTAAGCCCACAGCTAGCAGCGTGGCTGACCTTATCACTTTCACCGAGAACGAGCCGAGGGAGACCGCTAAAAATAATCCAGGAGCCCAGAAAAGGTACAATTTCATCTGAGTAGCCTGAATGCACCTCATTCACGAGGAGCTGTATTTGCACGTTTGTTTAAATCTTCAGCACCACCTTACTGCTGCTTTTACAGGCTGTGTATAAAAATCTTCTACCACTAGATGGCAGCATAGATCCTCTAATATGCTCTTTGTACCTACAGTACTTGGTGACTGAGAACAATGAGTTGTTGTTGTAAGAAACTGTGACATCATCCGTCACACCTCACTTTTTGTACTGTCCAATCATGTGGATGATCATTGATCCACAATCATGTGCAAATGAAGCTGTGTGGACTTTTTTTATGAAAGTCACCCACACATAAAAGATGAAATGTTGTCACTGTAATACACTAAAGTGATGTGCACACCATATAAGAAGGCTTCAGTCATCTAGACCCAACACAGCAAACTCATTCCTTTACAGAGGATGTCCTGTTAAATAGCGAGCACCATGTAAGCTGTGCTATAATGTCATGGTTTATTCTTGCAGCTGCCTCTGACGTCACTGCCACAGGACAGTAAGCAGGTGTACGTACAGCTCCTGTGGGACAACATCAACCTGCACCAAGAACCCGGAGAACCACTTTACCTGCTCTGGAGGACCTTTTGTAAGTGTGAAGACAGACATTATCAATCATTGTCCATCAGTACAGTGTCAAGTGTAGAACCTGTATTTGCAAATTGAATTGTGAGCTTTCAGATTATTAGGATGCACTATACTGCATAATCACCACTGGGGGTTTCCTCACCTGGCTCATGTGTGCCCAGCCCAATTTTACTCTTTAAGTGTGTGTGTAGCGGGGGGGTATGTATCCATGATCGTTTATGTTAATGAGAGTGTGGGGAGTGAGTTGGAAGGTGGGGTGGGCTGCTTTTAACCATGTAAAGCACTTTGTGCTACATTTTTGTATGAAAAGTGCTTTATAAATAAAGATTGATAGATTGATGTCCTGTGTGTCAAAGCTTTGAAGCGCGTGTCGGGTAATCTCGGGGGACTTTTTGTGAAGCGGGTCTCGAGGCTTGCTTTGATTACGTATGCAGTGACGACGTTCGAGGCCTCGCGAGCAGTCCGTGCTATTATCTGATTTCTGTCTTTTAGTTTATTAAAAAGTGAAGCGCCACACACTAGTTTGTGTCATTATCCAGATGTACATAAGCATGATTACACAGTTACACAATCATACCAAAACTCTGTCCTGATAGTTTCCACTGTATCTTTTGTATAAGACATACTGAGACAATATTTGGGATAAATAACCATGAAAACAATTTATTTATTCAGTTTAGAAGTTTACACATCACATCATTATAATCATTGAGCCTGTTTCACTTGAATCATCCACTTGATGTTGCAGTAGAGCCAATGAATCATCACAATGCTTCGAACCATGAGTCGACCAGTTGGATGGAAAGCTTCAGTTCATCATGAGGCTTCATCTCACCATCACGGTCTCACCATCACTAAAAGCCCTGTAACCAGCCAGTTTGAATGAGTGAAAAATATGCAAGAACCAGTGAGAGTGAAGTCAACAAGACAAAAAATATATAGATGAGTCCTCAGAGAGAGGTTAGTCTGTTGTAGATGTTTAAAAATCAATAATGAAATAATTAAAATAAATACTTAAATGTTATCTTTCCTTGTTATTATTCCATACATTTATTTTCATCCCGGACAGAGCCCTTCAATTGAGCTCTAACCCTGGACAGGTCCCCAGTCTGTTTGTCTTCTCGTAGGTTAGATTTTCATGTATGTGTTGATGTAAGCTGCATCTATCAGGTTTAAAACCCAGTGACCGATGGATGGGGAAGCCAGATGTGAATGACCAAAATACCACATTTAATAATAAAATAGAAAATAATATTGTTGGGTGATAAAACAATACCAATAGTCTTTCCCAAGAAATTGGTTTAAGCTGTGAACATCGACGTATAACAGCAGCCCAGGTTATGAGGGTAGAGCTTCATTTCCATGACTTCTTAAAAAAAAATTAACAAAAATGTTTGTTATATTTGATGACTGATATTCAAGGGTTGATTACTGCTAATAGCGTCCCTTGCATGGACTGACAATGTCCAAATAGCGACAGCAGTTCTCATGGCTGAGAGCTTGGACAGACTCTTCAAAATTCCAGTATCAATATAATAAATATGGCTTTGCAACACTTGACGTTTGTTGATAAGAACCTCTAACCGGGCCGGTGTTGTGCCAAAAAGTGATCGCCCGCCAAAAACTGATTTCCAATGTTTCCTTGTGTTTTTTTATGTGTAATATCTTTATGTATATTGGTAAACAGACTTTGGTGAACAGGGTTTACAAAGGGTTTATATATAAAAAATTTAAAATTACATGTTTTTCAAGTATCTTTATAACTCTGTGTTATTGTGCTTATATTATAACCAGTCTGGTCATTTTTGTCTATCGTTTTTGTTGTAATATCTGCTGTCCTCAGGGCCAGATTACTCTTAAAAAACACATTTTAATGTCAACGAGATTTTTTGAACTGGATAAATAAAAGATATATAAAAGTCACTGCCAAAAACTGATTGGGGCTTCTACCTTGTTACACATGTTGTTTATGGCTCAAGATGGCTTGATATCAGACACATATTTTTGTGCCTCTGAGCGCACGTAAAATATTTTTGCAAGCGCATATGTTGCATTTTGAGAAGAAAATTATTTTGAGCGAAAAAAGATTAATTTGAGCGAACAAAATTAATTTCTGCGTGCAAGAAATGTATTTCAGTGTTTGCTATTATCCGTACACACACACACACACACACACACACACACACACAATAACAGCCCCCCAGTTGTTGGAATTTGCTCTCGCTCAGATCTCCGCTCTGTGAGCTGATAGATATCTGCAGAACTGCTCCGCCCACAAAACCAACCAATCACAGACTTGGATTGCGGTCTGCAATCAGCTGGCTAACTACTGCACCCCATGCCACGTGACTGACATTTCCTTTCCTGTTGTTGGAATTCTTGTCCTTAT